TAACCATGACTGTACAAAATCATACAAAAAGAAATCAAATAACTTTACTCAATTGATAGCGAAAAGGCGACCAGATTGCGTTGGGGGAGGGAGACCTCTTAAAAATGGAAAGAAACAGAAATGGCTTCAGAGGCACTGGATTATTTATACTGCTTTACATATGTGTATTATTAACATGATATCAGCATTTCCTTTTTAAATATTACAGGTGTATTGCGACACCCTAACTGTATGTTATGCATCTGCTTGTTTCATTGCGCCATGCTACTTATATGACGGGAAATAAAAATCCAGACGGCTTCCTTTAATTGGGAGATTTGAAATGTGTTTTCCATCATTTCATAAGGAGTCTCAGTACCCTATGACATATTTGGCATCTTTGAAAATCTTTGGGTCTGACTGGAATTCAAAATTAAGTCTTGAGCAATGCTCGTCCCAACAACATGGACTTGTAATGATGGACCTGCCAATGTAGTGCTTAAGTATTAGATTGTAGATCTGTTTGCACTGTGCATGAGGAGCTAATACAGATGAACGTCAGATCTGTAGTTAGAAAAGTCTGTTTCAAATATTCCCTTTTTTTCAAAGAGTGAAATAAACTCTTCCCCTTAAGTGCACCACTGTGAGAACCAGCACATACATTACCAGCCTGACACAAATATTGATAATATTGTAACCCAGTGCTAAAGTTATGATCTCTTTGTTTCTCTGCCACTGCGCCTACAAATAACCCGTCTAATAAACAGGGACTGGGACGAGTAGAGAAGCGATGCATCCCAGACTCTGGTCTGCTTCACTGGACCTGAACACAACCATTTCATCTGTTGAGCCAGCAGGCCAAATCAAGTGGTCTTTATTAAAGTCGCTTTGATGGATTCACCCCTGGCCTCCCCCGCTGTGATCTATCGCCTGTCCAGCCCTTGGAGGTCGTAATAAACTTGTTTAGCAGTGGGGTCACCGCATGCAAGCAGAGCATGGGTGTGTGAGTGTGAATGTGTGTGGGTGCTTTTCTGCTTGCACGGTGTGTGATGTTACGTGGTTCAGGTCTTGTCACAGCCTGTGAGTTGTATATCTATAGCTCCATCCACTTGTGATGATATTTGTTGTTTCATTACAGATTCAAGCATGATTGAATCATTTATTTATCCACACACATTTAAGCTGCGGTCAGGCACAGTGGCAGCGCTGTTATCCCTTTGAGTAGTTTTACTGTCCTGAGCCGCTCCCGCATATTTTCTAATAGAGTAGTAAATCAAAGGCAGTTGAGCGTACATAAGTCCTTCACAGATTCAGTGAAGCCATGCACAGAAAAGCTATTTATTTAAGCTATTTATTTATAAAAAAATGAGTGATCTCCTTTTTCATTCAGAATATATTTCTTTCTTACGCATCTCTGAAAATGATTTGAATAAGTACGACGTGAAAACACAGAGACCTGGCTCACAGCTCATTACGCCTATTGTCTTATATCTGCAGTTATATTAAATTTGCAGCAGTCAGAAGTGAATCGCACTGGGTGCTGCGTTCGGCAAAGATGATGAGCTCTTTAAGTGTTCTTCCTTCTGTGAATGAAACACAGCAATTAGCAGACGTTGTAGACACGGCCAGCTGACATCCATGTGTGTCCAGTTAGCAATGGCTGCTGTCCCCAGCGTACATGGGGACATCCAGGTCATAGTAAGCCGAGGTGAAACCCATCCGCTTTCTAATGGATACCACAGGGACCGGTGTTATTGGATGATTCATCAGATCAATCGTCGACAGTTCCCATCTGACTTCCTGAGTCCAGCATGCGAGGCTTGTTGGGGTTTATGTAGCTTGCATGGTAACAAGCACCTGGCACTGCTGATCATAGGCACCGAAGACTGTATATGGTTTTATTGTTTTAACAAAGTAAAAACTGAATTTACTACTTTGTTCCCAGATGTTATTACATATGTTTCATTTTTGAAAGTAAATCACACCAGTGAAAGTGTATGATGTACTTTTATGAGCGAAATCTCTCACAAATAAAGTTTTACGAGAGGTGTGCCTGGAAAGAATGGGGAATATTTCATTCTGAAAAGCCCTTTGGAAGATACAGCAAAGGGCAAAGCCTGTTATTGTTGCTGTTCTTTATGGTGTTGTTTTATAACAGTGGTAAACCATTGAAGTCACTGTAGGTTATTGTATGTTATATTGTGTATGGACTCAACTACAGTTATAAACAAGTACTGATATTTTACAGCCTGGTGATGCTACTGGAAAAGTTACAATCAGGCCATTGCAAAGGAGAAATATAACTTAATACCAGACATTACACAAATCACAACAACCAAAGTCAATAAAGCACTTAGTGTGAAATTAAGACTTTATAGTGGGGTATATATTTTTAAAGGGAGAGTTCAACCCAAAATCAATGATAGATATATTTCCTCTTATCTGTAGTGCTACTTATCAGTCCAGACTTTTTTGGTGTGAGTTGCAGAGTGTTGGAGATATCAGCCATAGAGCTGGCTGCCTTCTCTCCAGTATAATAGTACTAGATGTCACTCAGCTTGTGGTGCTCAAAGCGCCAAGTAAATAATTAAGAAAAACTCATCAGCAATGTCTCTGTCCAGAAATCGTGACCCGATTGCTCAAGATAATCGACAGGCCTTGTTGTGAGCAGTTTCATGTTGGAACTATTTTCTTTCTAAAGAACTGTATCACCACCTTGAATGCCGACCAAAGTTAAAATATTTTAACTTTTACTGTTCACCGGCCACAGAATACTCAACCGGGTGTGACGTAGTTTCAAAACAGAAAAGAAAACATGGTGGAACTCGACAACGAAAAGCTAGTGCTTTTGGTGCAGCAGCACCCAGAATTATATGACCAAACTTTAAAAGCCTACCATGATGCTTCCAAGAAGGCGTACATATGGGACGCGATTAGCGCAGAGCTGGGTGGAATACCAGGTACGTAATATGAAACTTAACGTTGTGAATTGCTTTATTAGCTTAGCGAGCTATCTGGCTAACATTAGCTCTCTGTAGCCCCAAAACATCGCAATAGCAACAATCATGTGTCACGAGTCATGTGTCTCATTTTGCCGTCGTGCTGTTCCGTCAGACCGCTTATTTATTTCTCCCGTTCCATCCAGCAGATGTCTCCCGTCCGCCGTCTGCCTGATTCCATGTGAATGCAGCATTAGACATGTCCAGGAATTATGCTCTGTAAACAGTGATACCTGTATTATGTTGAGGAATCTCTGTAGTGTGTATGTAAAGTTCATGTATGCAGTTGATAGAGATGAATCTGTCTTTTTATGGAGAGAACGAGATTGTGTAGAATCAATGTTGATGACACCCTGGTTTTTCTTTATTTTATAGTTTTCATTTATTCACTTCCTCATTTTGCTTTTTCTTATTTGTTTTGATGTATTTATTTCAACATGCTTGAGTAGTTGTGTTTCTTTTGATGCACTTGTATCGAAGATTTGTTCCGATGTTTTATTGTTAATATTTGTATTTTTGATGATAAAGAAAAAAACAACAAGCATATGTCTACTGCTAGCTCACCTAGCACCACTGAGCTAGCTAATGTTACAGCCCAGCTGAGGAGGACACAATAATGTTTACATCTTGCATTCTCACAGGCACGAGCCTCTTGTCCAGCAGTAGATGCACTCTTCCTTCTGGGCAGTGATACGACTGGTGGGTATAGTTCTGTAGAAGAAATAGTTCCTAAATGAAACTTTGCACAACAAGGTCTTTGTATTATCCTTAATAAGTAGGTCATGATGTCTGGAATGGGCGGCACGGTGGTGTGGTGGTTAGCACCATCGCCTCACTTTAAGAGGGTTGCTGGTTCAATCCCGAGTGTGGAGTTTGCATGTTCTCCCCGTGTCAGCGTTAGGGATGGGCATCACAAGCAAAAACACTATTCAAAAATTATGGCAACTATTCGACAATTTTTCGAATAATCGCCCCCCCCGGAGCCACGCACACAGAGGTCCATTCATCATTAAATGTCCGAACATACTCGGGCGGAACGGACTCCACGGAGGTCCGCGCGGACTCAAAGTGGACGTCCGCAAGCCCTGTGCGCGCAAAGCTCAGATTTTACGACCGCATGGACTCTGCTCCATGCACCAGTGACTGCTCGGCATGTATTTTTCACATCGCGGGGATTTTTCATGGACATTTTTACAGGAAACTACAACGCAGAAGTGCGCTCGACTATGAAAGCCCGAATGACTGCGGACATTCCTCGCGGAGTAGTAGTCTCTGCATGTTTCTCCTGTTTGTAGAAGAGCATCAAACTAGCTGGTGGCCCATCTCACACTGCTGTAGCAATCCTATACTGCCCTCGTGCAGTTAGGAGCTGAATTGCATGTCAAATAGAGGGGGGAAATAAGACGGCGAATAGTAATAGTTGCATTAAAAAATAGATTTTTCAAAAATAAAATGACTATTCGAAATTCGAAAATCGTGACCCATCCCTAGTCAGCGTGGGTTTTCTCCAGGTACTCCAGCTTCCTCCCACAGTCCAAAGACATGCAGGTTAATTGGTGACTCTAAATGGTCTGTAGGTGTTAGTGTGAGTGTGAATGGTTGTCTGTCTCTATGTGTCAGCCCTGTGATAGTCTGGTGACCTGTCCAGGTTGTACCCTGCCTCTCACCCAATGTCAGCTGGGATAGGCTCCAGCCCCCGTGCGACCCTCAAGAGGATAAGCGGTTAGAAAATGGATGGATGGATGATTTCTGGAATGAGACATTGTTGATGAGTTTCTCAAATGTATTTTTTTGGTGCTTTGAACACCACAAGCTGAGTGCCATCTAGTTTGATTATATTTGAGAGAATGCAGACATCTCTACAGCTGATATCCCAACACTCAGCTACTCACACCAAAACAATCTATATTGATAAACAGCACTACAGGTAAGAGGAAAAATATGTATTTTGGATTTTGGGGTGAACTGTCCCTTTAATCACTTGACGTTCTGTAAAATATATACAAAGCGGTGTCTCAGTTATTGCAGTTTAGTCATATTTATTTACAGCAAACAAACAGACGCATTCTCAGACTTTGATATGAAAATAGATATTGCTATAAAGTGTCTCTAAGAGTTTATCCATTAATCAGTTGAATTTTATTTGAAGTTGAGTTACTGATCATATGTTAAAATATGATGTGATCAGTTGTGTTTTGTAATTTGTAGAAAAGCTCATACCTTCTTCCTGTCCAAGTTGTCCATATTAAAATATCTGGGCAACTTTGTGAATGATATTGTTGATTGAATTTCTCACTCAGGAATTCACTCAAACCACAGTCATTTGCTCAAAGTCGGCGCGTGTCCTCAGGTAGTTGCCAAAGCCGTGCTTCAAAATGTCCAGAAGCTTGAAGTATCAACAGTCAGATTCGAATTTCCTCCCAATATATACATTTTCCTGGATATTGTTCATTATATTGATTGGAGGCCAAGCCATGCCGTCAGAAGTTTGCTGGGCGCACCATCATGGTTGTCATGGTCGCCATCAGGTTAGGACCCTTCCAATAGTACCACTTAATACCGTTGTAGCGAATCACACTGGATGAGCTGGGGTAATATATGCCATTCAGGTTGGATGGACCGCAAGCCTCAAACCACCAACCTAGAGAGGGAATGTGCCAGAGAGTTCAAGGGAAAAAGTCAGAATTAATCAAATTCAAACTCATGAAATGTAACACCCAAATGTACAGCTGTAAGTCAGCAGTAACTTTATATTGGCGCAGAGGGAAAATGAAATGCACTTCGGGACATTTACAAGGGGTGGATAGAAATATTTAACAAGATGTGTTGTAAGGAGAGACAGATTGAGTCAGGGGTTGATGAGTAGCAGGAGTCGGGTACCTCCAGATGCGAGCTGAGCGCACTTGCAGGTGCAGCGGTCGTTGTCTCTGTCCTTGGTGCTGAACTGGGTGCCAGTGTGGGTGAGGCTGCTTGTCCGTCCAGCTGTGCCACTGAAGCCCTCGACGTGAAGGCTGGATTTTTGGGAGAGCAGTCAAAGAGCAAAGATCTTCAGTGAAAAGCTCAGCCACAGGCACTTTTATTTATTATTGAAAGCTGTGTTGGGCAACATTGTTTGTTGGCAGCTCCACATGGCAGGCAGTGGTTACTGCCCGAAAACTGTTTGAACTTCTTGTTTTACTGAAATCCACTGATGTTATGTTGGTGAAGTGATCACAGCACAATCATGTTTACCAAACCATCTGGTGTGTGATGCCTTGATACAACAGGATAGCAAAGGGATGAGAAAGGCAAAATATCTAACTTGGTGCGTCCAACTTTTATTTGTTGGAGCTGCTGTTTAGGAGACAGTTTGAAGTAGGCTTGGGCAGCATTGATTTTTCCCATACCTCCATACCTTCCTGACATTTCACTGGGGTGTACAGTATATGGCAGTATTTGTGTGAAAAGAAAACTGTAAAAGCTGAGCTACTGGAGTAATTGCAGCACGTACGTCATTGTTTATCTTAAAATGCTGTGTTTCTAATATGCAGTAAGGCAAGTCTTGCTGGGTTTAAATACTTATGGCCCATTGAATAATGACCACATAGGAAAAAAAAGCTCCCTTCTTGCTGGATGACCCAGTGACACTTGTTGCCGCAGCGGCTACTGACACATCAGTGGGATTAACAGAGATGATGTGTTGAATAAAATCATGTGGCTAATAAACTGTTGTCATAGTTTGAAGAAGATAAAGTTATAGTTGGCAATGCTGCGGCTGTGGCCCAGAGGTAGAGCAGGTCGTCCACCAATCGGATGATCGATGGTTCAATCCCCGGCTCCCCCATCTACATGTCGAAGTATCCTTGAGCAAGATACTGAACCCTGAATTGCTCTCGATGGCTGTTCCACCGGTGTGTGAGTGTGTTAAAAGCAGGTGGCACCTTGTATGGTAGCCTCGGCCACCAGTTTATGAATGTGGGTGAATGGGACTCTAATGGTGTGTCTCAAATCACCTACTTCCGTTAGTACACTTCCATGTAGTATACTATGTGCACTATGTACTCATTGGTGTAGTGCGCAAATTTCGACAGGGTAGTGTTGTCTCAAACCAAACACTGCTGTTGTGCGTGTGCTGTTGTTACCGGAAATGACGACCGCAGCTGTTAGCTAGTTAGCAAACTAGCATTAGCATTCGCATTCTCATTTGCGGTACCAAATCATTACAGACTGCTAAACTAACCCAATAAACATACTGCTGGCTTATACCCGACAACAGTATAGTGGTGCTTAGTGCAAAAAACACATGTATTTGTACAATGCAGCGACGTTCACGGTCACACAGTCCTCGGCCACCATTTCCAGTTTGAAATGTGGTCCCTCCCCTTCCGCTACGTAGCCAAGATGGCGACCATTGAGGTCGAGAAGTGTCCATAGTTCCACACTCAACTTCTTGACTGTTTTGAGTGCACCATCCGGGTACTCATAGTGCACTGCATTTTTCCATACTTCTCAGTGTGAACGCACTTAAGCACTTAAAATATTAAGTGTAAGTCCAGAAGTACGCGATTTGAGACACGGCATAAGTGTAAAAAGTGCTTTGAGTTGTTGGATGAATAGAAAGGCGCTAAAGTGCAGGTCCACTAATACTCTCAAACAGAGGCTGAGGCATTTTTTGTTTTAACTAGTCCGGTAACGTTATCCCCACCACTGGCATTTGGCATCTTTCTCAGCTCAGCTGCGTGTCAGTAGAGACTGACCTCTGGTGGCAACACATCGCCTCAATACAGCATCTCTATCAGTTTAATTGAAAGAGAGGCATCTGCATTTTGAAGATGATGAAAATCATAAATGGTACGCTGTAATATCTTGATATGGCCCAAACCTGGTCTGTTGTTCACTTTTAATGTGTCGCTCCTATCAGTGCCTCAGGGCATACCTGACATTAGGATTTCATTTTGGTAAATAGACAGCATGTTAAGTGGGTCAAGACTCAATGCTCTTCTCTGTCGTTTGGAGTCTGTAGAGTTGTGCCTTACGCAATGTTAAATTCAAAGGACCCTGGATGCGTTATTTCACAATCAAAGATAAATGTAAAATAATCAAAGAATATACAGGTAGAACCACCTGTAAACCACAGCGGGAGATCATAGCCTGTTTACAGTGTGTACAAATAGCCTACTTTAATGCAAGGCATCATCTTCCCTCGGTTCCTATCGTTGTCAAGCATCAAAATAAAAACTAACCTAAAGTGCGTCTCATTATTTTTCTGCCATGCTGTGCTTTGTGAAACAACCCAAACAGTCTAAAAGAAATCTCTGCCCAAGTTAAATTGATTCGCTCAATTATTTTCACACAGTGTCCCCAGCAATGGAGTCTGTGTGTGGATGTGTCAGTGTGTGTGTGTCAGTGCTGGTTTGAAGAGCGTGGACGAGGAGGTCAGCCCTGTTGTCTGCCCTCTCCTCTGCCCTGTCATTCTGTCTAGTTAGTACTGGACTCTCCCCTGAGTTATGTGACCCCCCTCCCTCCGTAGCCCGGGGCACGCTGTCTGTGATGACTAAATGAAGAATCCTCCTCTTGAATTTGTAAGTTCACAGGGCAGGGCAACACATCATGAGGGTCAGCAAGAGGGGAGTTTGAAATGACAGCGCAGCGGACGGGAATAATGATAGAATAGCAGAGAGGCTGGAATAATACATGAGGGGATATTTTTGTTCGACGACTTAACTTTTCTCTTCACGATGGACCGGTGACGTGGAGCAAATTAAAAACTATCAAATTAGACAGGATGGTAACCACAGGCTACAGGATATCCTATTGGAAAGAGTGTTCGGTGCCAGTTCTCCTTACTCTGCAAAACTTTTGCATTAGCCATGACTTCCAGACGTATTAGTTCAGCTATTCCACCAATACCGCAAACCACAGGCTAATCCTTTTCAAGGTGACTGTCTTTTCATATTGTTATTGTATCCCTTAATGACAAATATACTGTTACATTAAAAGGAATGCCTACCATTGGTTTAACTCAAAGAATGGCTGTTCTTGGCTACCTCAGAGGGGAAAGCGGTCTGTCATGCTGATGATTAATGTATGAATAATGTTATGAGTTTTAGGTGAAGACCTCCATGTTGCTCTGGGGAGCACACTGGATGCAGCTGAGGAGGTGGAGGATTGCTTTGGCTGACTGGCTGCATAGCACCGCAGCTCCGGCTTGGGAGTTTTAATATAAACCCACAGACAAAGCCAGCGTCTTGAGCATGCTAGTAAAGCTGGTGCATATTGAACTGGTTACACAGAACATGATCTCAGAGGTAGCAAGCTACAGAGGTGATTATATTCATTCAGGTGCCTCACCTCACACGGTGTAGCCTACAGCAAAATTGTGAAACATTCAGTTTCATCGCGCTAATTATGTGGAACAAACTCAGGCAAATGCAATTTGCTGCACTATTAGGGATCTTGGAAAGCACACACCCACATGTGACTATGATTTTTTTCATCTCTCAGAGCATCAATCTCCATAAACTTCCACAAAACAAAAGCAAATTCCTGTGAATATATGTGAAATTTGAGCGCAACTATTTTAGTTTACATTTTATTTTTGTCTGTTTTGAAAGAAGCAAGGCCTCAGCACACCCACACATAATCTTGTTAGTGATTGCAGGGTTACCGCGGAGCTTGGTTTGAGTTGTCAGTTCCTGGCAGGGGCAGGTATTGCCGAGCGTTGCTGTTATACTCCAGTGGAGGTGGCTCCCCTTGGGGATTTTCAGGGGCAGCGGTAGCCGCGGTGATGGGAGAAGAAAAATGGAGGCAGGCGAAAGTGGCTGCGTGCCCTCCACTGAGCTCATCATTTTGAATGACATTCTTAAAAACGGTCCAAGTGGTTCCTTAACTTCAGTGCTCGGGGATAAGGAAGCTTAGAGAACGAGAAAATAGAAAGGAGTATGAGCTGTTGATAACGGTTTCTAATCTGTCGTGATATTAAAAGTCTTGCACCCAGAGGGGAGCCTACAATTGAAAGGGTGTTACTGCGTTGCAATTATGCCTTTCACAATAGAAGGCTCTTAATAAAACACTTGACTGAAATAAAGCACCGTCATTATACCCCTATTCACGTCTGATTTTTGACAAAGCGAAATAATTTAATTGGAGACCTGAGTGTACAAGGAGTGGTTTAGTTTCACATTTTGTCATATCTTGTGCTATCATGTGCTAATTACTAAACACTTTTGGTAATTGGTTGATTTAATAATTAAAGGGGTGAATTTTGATCTGAGCATTACATCATTACAAGCCTGCATGTTCACTTCTGTATTATATATATTGAAAGCTGGTACCTGTAGTTGTTGTCCTCTCCATCTATGTAGAAGCGATCGTAATGCGAGAAAGCTTCGTTCCCCTCTCTGTCTTTTAGCTGGACATGCAGACTGTATTCCTGCGAGCTGGTCAGCCTGTGGATGATATCATTCCCCAGCCAGTGTTCCCCAGACAGCTCTCCAAAGCCCTGGATTAGACACAAAGACAGAGAGAAACAATGGAACAAGAAAATATTCTAACAAAGGGGGTGATTTTACCAGGGATCTGCCAAGTGTTTTTTGGAGTTAATATGAAAATGGACCTCAATTTAAGAAGTCACATTTATCATTTTGATGGCTGAAGACAGTCCACTGAGTTTATGAAGTGAAATACTCCGCTCCCAAAGCAAGAGGCCAGTCAATTGAGACTTTAATTTTCTCTAATATCCTACAAATGCTCTGTCTGTGCTTGCAACACTTACAGTAAAATAAAATTGGCTTTGTGGACGGATCCACTGTTTGTTTGAGCTTGGGAGCTGGACATGAGTTTTCGTCTCATTTTTGGCAAGGGAAAACAACACTGAGTGATCACCAGGGCAGAATAAGCTGGGCAAGAACATAGGAAATATTTTTTTGAGGAGGAAATTACAAAAGGATGCAGGCAGGTGAAACCAAACAAACACAGATGCTGCTATACAGGGCACAGGGGAGCCCTAAAGGGTTTGGTGAGTGTGAAGATGATGAGATATGATAAAGCTTTTGCAATCACCAGATCTCAACCACACCATTCCAATCTCTCTGGGTCCACTAATCACTCATAAAATCAAGAGATGGATCAATCAATGGCATCAGAGGGCGTTTTTCTTTTGTGTGAGTTAGTCAAACTACAAAATGAATTTGCTGTTCTCTGGTGAACATGCACTGACAGGTGTTTATCAGTGAGTGAAATTCCCTTTTGTATTGTTTTTTATATTTTAAAAAAATGAGCAAGGATTGAATGTTTTCTCACAAAGACCAATCTCCAGTCCTTCAGAGCTCGCTTTCAGTATGTGAAATTATATGATATCTTTTAGCTTTAATTGTGCTGTTTGCCTCATGAAGGTCGAGTTACCGAAACGCTGCAACATTAAAATCATTAATCATCAATCATATTTTGCAAGTTAGACTGTGTGCAGGAGTCTTTATTACAAGTTTTATTCTTCTCGTCCCTCTCCTACGCACTTGTTTGAAAATAGAAATGCCAAGTATTCTTTCGTTTTGAGCCTTAATTGTCAGGCATGATTTAAAGGGTCAGTTCACCCCAAAGTCAAAAATACACATTTTTCCTCTTACTTTTAGTGCTAGTTATTAGTCTTGATTGTTTTGGTGTGAGTTGCTGAGTGTTGGAGATCTCAGCTGTAGAGATGTCTGCCTTCTCTTGCATATAATGGAATTACATGGTATTCAGCTTGTTGTGCCGAAAGTGCCAAAACATATATTAGAGAATCTCAACAACATCTCTTTCCAGAAACCAGTTACTCAAGATAATCTTATTGTGAGCAGTTTCATGTAGAAGCTATTTTCTTTCTACCAGCTGCATGCGCCAACCGTATCACTGGAGATGAACGAGATGTGCATCTACTAATGGACAAGGAGCTCGTACTCATGACAGTGCTATATATAACCTAAATGGTGTCCTCCTTGGCTGAGCTGTAACATTAGCTAGCTCAGTGTTGCTAAGTGAGCTAACAGTAGATGCATGCTTGTTCTGTGTAGTGGTACAGTTTGCAGGTGTAGTTTAGTCCAATACATTCGAGAGAAGGCAGACATCTCCAACATTCAGTAACTCACACTAAAACAATCCAGACTGATCAAAAGCACTGCAGGTAATAAGAAAAATTCATATTTTGGATTTCGGGGTGTCTCGCAGTTTGTCATTATAACCACAATTATAAAAGTACTTAGCAGTCATCACAAAACAATGCAATGATTCGAATAAAGAGTCCTTTAAGGGTGCTTTCAGACCTAGAGTTGTCTTGCTTTGGTCTGAATCAGAGACTAATTTTGTCACAAAGTTGTATAATTGCCTAGAGTTGGTTCGTGTTCTCACGGCAGCATTTACAAGAGGACCAGATAAAATACCTTCTGTAAGAAAGCTGCTCTTGATTGGTCAGAATTTCCATGTGGGAAAAATCCAGGAAGTAAAGCAAACATTGAAGAAGAGTACATTTGCAAGATAAATGTGACACTTTCTAATGTCACAATGGAGGGACAACTACGCAGGTTGATTTTAGCGCTGCTCATCGTGGACTATATTGCTGTCATTGTTCATTTTAGTCAAACCATACAGTTTGAAAACGAGGCGCGGCTCCAACTAGAAAACAATGTTTTGATGCATTGGATGTGCTGAATGTGCATATTAAGGCAGTACAGGAGGAGGTGCACATTAATAATCCTCCAGGACTGTAACATGCTCATGTTTAACCCAAACAATGTGTCATGTGACTGCAGTTGGTTCAGATCCAGGTCAGAACACGTTCTCACCACAAACGAACCGCACCAGAGTTCATTTGTAACCGGACAGAGACCACCTCTTCAAGAAGGTCTCGGTCAGATTGTTTTGGTGCACACCTGAGTGTGATTGCTGTGTTCACACCTGCCCAAACGAACCGCACTTAGCAGGCAAACGAACTTGAGTTTGATTGAACTGAACCAAACAGGGCAGGTGTGAAAGCACCCTCAATAACCAGACAATTATGGCTATTGAAGATTCTGGACTTATTTCGACAGCCCTCCACAGCACCATCACCAAAACATCAATTGACGGAATATATTCTGTAGGAATGCTGTCCCTTCTTCCTGTAGAGTTCAGAGCTGAGCACTGAAGCTCATCTGGCAGCTTGCCTTTAATTTATCAACCATTTCTACATTATACAGAGGCGGAATATTAAAAAAACGAGTGTATAAAAGAGAAGTATCAAGGACATAAATCTGCACCAGGAGTCAGTGTTAAATGATGTTAACAGGTTGAAGGCACAGTAGCATTTACATGATTTCACAAAAGAAACCGCAGCATTAAATGAAAACAGAAACAGTGAGCCACATGGGGGTGATGGCTTTGACAGGAACAGTGCGCTGCAGGATTGGATGTCGCCGCTCCAGGGAAATGATAATAACACGCAATGTTCTATTCACAGAGGCGGCTTAAGAGGAGAAATGTTATGTGGCTTCCTCTAATGAATCTCACAGAGGGCTGTTGTGTCAGTTGTTTGACTGAGGCAAGCGAATGTGGATTCACAGTTTGAAAAGGCCAAACAAATTTGAGAATGCGCATGTTATCCGACAGTCAGTAAGCATGTAACCATCAAGGCTGATTGCATTTTCAAGGCAGAGCTGTGAATAATAAAACTTTTGTTCAGTCTATCAGAAGGACATTTTCTTCTTGTTTACCTCTACACTCTAAGTCACTTTGTCTCGCTGTCAGACTCTCGGTTTGTTATTGGTCTTAAGTGAGAGTGAATACACAGTGAGAGCCTTGGAGCATTCATCATTCAACCAGCAAGGCCTGGCTTTAACAGTTGATCAACACTGACCACAGTTTCTGAGAATATAGAGTGTGAGCCGAGGCAGTGAAGTGTTTTAGTACATACGTTATCTGCCATCTACAGGGCCTCTGTGCTCCCACGACCCAACTGGAACCAAATATTTATCATCCACTTGAAAAAATATTGGTCTTGAAAGAGGTTTTTTAAGCCTGTTTTTGGTCTCACTCTTTCTGTTTGCAGTCGCAGTCCTCTCTGCATCCTATTTCCAACCCAAACTGTGGCAATTGATTTGTTGGCGTGGGTGAGAGACAAATTGCTACTCCACTCAATCCCAAACTAGCTTCACTCATTTGTTGTGTGTAATTTAACACAGTCAAAAAAAAAAGAAGCTTGCAAGCATTATGTTTTTCTGTGTTGCGCAAACAGAATATTGATTCTATCGAGAAAACTTTGTGATGAAGTTAAAAGAAAAAGCCCTGTCTAAATGTAAGTCCAAACAAAACAAAAGCCAAAGGTGTCAAAACATGCTTGGTTCAGCCAGAGTGCTGGAGCAGCTTCATAGTCTCTAGTGTACGACTGCATTGTATCCAGTTTGTTTTTCAGACCTAGAATTTGGAAACACTGTTACTTTCATCACTGCACAATCATTTCCCTACACGGGAAAGCTTCTGGGATTAAGGATGGATAGAAACAGTAGTGATCTGCGGGTCATTGAAGTACATTATGTGTGTGTGTTTGTGCATGAGCGTGTGTGGGAGTGTGACAGGGAGAGGGAACGAGAGCAGGTGCAATAACATGGGAGGTGGTAGAGAACACGGGGGCAGCCAAATACAACAAACGCAGGTCACCTGGGATCACAGGCTAGCTGGTATCCCACGCCTCCCTGTGCCAAATCACCCATGGACGGTTATTGGAACCTCCTGTCCAGCCCCACAACACTGATCCATGCTACCTAATACTGGTGCACATTAACCCTACCCTCTGCAGTGCTCACCATTTTGTAGTCCCTCCAGACACGGTGGAAGTTTACGGAGCCATTTCTCCGATGCTGCAGCACCGTCCACCCTCCACCGCTAGTCTTCATGTCACAGAACACCTGTGGAAATGACAGCAAGGTAGAAGACGCTTTTATTACTTAGGGCAGGGTAGCAAAACTGATCAAGTCAGGAAAGATTTTTTAAGTAATCCCTCTCAATCACCACTCATGACTAGAGATGTACCGATACCACTTTTTCCTTTCTGATACTGATTCCGATCCCTGAACCTCAGGTATCTGCTGATACCAAGTACCAATCCGATACCAGCGCGTAAAAAAAAATGGATGGGATATGAATTGTTGTGTGTCTCAAAACTTTTTTTTGATTATTATTATCGAGTGTTGACACAGATCAAGACATTTTAAAGGCTACAGTAGAATGCTTTTTAAACTCTGCTCCGTTTCCGTTTCGTTTGCCTGTAGTGTGCGTATGCATAATGATGTGAGGCATTACGTGGTATTGGATTGGTCAGAGGCTGGACTCGCCGATACCCAATACTGTATTTTAGGCAGTATCGGAGGCATTTCCGATACTGCTATCGGTATCGGCAAAGACGGTGGATAAACCAAGACGGTCCACTGCGAGTCAGTTTCCTGTATCAGTGTCACGTGGGGTTCACGACCACCACGCCCCTTTAGGAGACTAACAGCAGGTCCTGAGTCCATTGACTTCAGTGGGAGAAATGAACGTGATTACAGATTATGGCCGATTCTTTCACCCCATAGTCACAGAAACAGATATTGGACCCATTTATCACAAGCCACATATTTTCAGAACATTCTGACACCAAAATGGCAAATTTCAGACGGACAAATCAGGAGAAAATTTACTTTGTTCAAGACCTGTCTCTGTCTCAACAACACACTCTCGCGAGATCTGGCAACAGATATCTCCTCTCTGGTGCTGAAATCAGTGCAGTTTCACCAAAGATACTGGATTACTAAAAATATCTTTTTCCAGCGGATGTCTTAGTTACAACATGATTGAGCTAACTGGAGTAGTTTCATGTCGTATCCGACAACGTGAGGCTTTTAACAGATGACGTCCTGATGTTAGCTTTGCTGCTGCTGTTAGCTGTCCCTGTCAGCTGCAGCCACTGATGCTTTCTAGACATCGTGATTTCCCAAAACTGAATAAATACCACACATAGCAACACAAAACTGCTTTGCTAGCTCAATCATATTGTAACTAAGATATCCGCTGGAAAAAATATTTTTTTCACGGACCATTTATCGAGTTACTGAGTTATTACAGACACCGCTAATGGCTAACGGTTAGCCAAGCTAATCTACGATAACCAAGCGAGGTTGGGGATAGTCGTCTTTGATTGGCGGTTCTCCATCGTCTTTGATTGGGCTACGGGGGACAACGCCTGCTTAGGAGACTGGAAATGTATACCATTTCATACAATGGGGGTATATTGTAGGTGGGCCATCTTGTTATAATACAGTATCTTTGGTATCGGTACAACTCTACTCCTGACCCACTAGAAGTGTGTGGCTGTGTATTTTTCTGCAGAGACTCTGCCCTCTGCCTGTATTTTATTTTCTGTGTTGAGGAAATTTATGGCCGTGTACCCCCGCAGTGCTCAAGTGAAGTCAGGGCTTTATAAAAATGTCGCACCCAGCTGCCTGACCATATAAGCAGCAGGTATCCAGGAGACTCAGCGCTGAAAAAATGCAGATATACAAAACAAGAGTGAATCTGGGGTTTGATTTTACTCTCACTTTCACTGGCAAGCATGTGTATAGTCAGTAACCAACCATCCTGCTGCATGGTGCACCTTTGAAGTGGCAATAACTGATCGTTTCAGAGGCGGACGCACAAGCGGTAAACAGAACATCGACATAATTATCACCTTATAGCAGCCACATTTTCCACAATAATTTCCCTCATTCAGCAGATGCAAAGCATTCATTTGGAGCTGTGTGTCAAGCCACCTGGCAATTCCAATAAAAAAAGAAAATGCCCCACTGTGTTAACCAACTAGTCACTAACAGTTGTTTGGTGCTTGGCCAACAGTGTGGAGTGGGTACATCAGAGCTTATTAGCTGAAAACAACTGCTTGTTGAGGAAAGAAAGCAAAATATTCTGTCGACCTGAGGGGAACTGCAGAGTTCTCTTCATCGCTGCAAACGACCCCTTTCACATTGCATATAACCATCTGATTGCTACTAGAAAGTGATTTATTTGTGCAGCTGTGATTGATATAGATGCAGTTATTTCGTTTAAAACTGATACGCGTGTGCTGTTTGGCCATAAAAACAACAAGCAAAGGTTAATACATCAATATTCCCTAAATCAAGGTATAAGGAACATAACAGTGTTCTAGTATTAGCACCATATTGGCCCCAATATTGAACATTTCTTTAAACAATACCCAGCCTTTTTCTGTTTTCCACTTGACAGCTACTCAAGTATATCTGCCAGTAAACTGGGATTAGTTTCAAGATGTCACATTTTACAGCATCTGAGCGGTAAACAAGAGAAAGCGGAGAGAAAAGTGGCAAGACATAACAAAGAAATAAAACACGTAGTCTTTTTGTTATTTGAAGGATGCCTTGGAAGCATCAGGAGTAAGGGGGGAGGCGAGGAACCCAACATTTCAGGGTGTCATGCAATGATACGACCCAGGTGGGGAGGAAAAACTAACATATCAGCATGTTCTCTTATTCCCCTGAGTCGGGGCTGAGGAGGAGGCATCTGCGTTTTTGGTTACACACACTGTTTTCTTTCGTACTTGGCTGCACATTTTGCCATATGTAGATATGTTCGGGAGAACAAATGAACTGCACTCATTCATCTACTGGCAGAACCTGATATTTAAACTCGGCGAGGGACTTGTTTTACATATTCAAGGTGTTTGACTGGACATATCCTAGCCTCTCTTAGGTATTGTGATGAAATGTCTGTGAATTTCTCCCATGGGTGGTAAGATTAGATCCCTCTTAATTGAACAAGTGTATTCATTGTGCATACCTCAAGGCTACAGGGTGGGACTGTTTTCTTAGGCACTGTAGTATGTTTCAGTCTCTGTGCTACATGTTGTCGTCTCAAATTAGATATATTGTCAGTGGCTTTGACTCGATAACCTCTACAACCTGCAATGAGGTTTATTACTGACGAAACAAAATCGATTTGCTTGGCAGGTTACTTGAATCTTGTCCACCATATGAACCACCCTGACCTGTCTCAAGAGTCAGACAGTATGGATGCTGGTATGTGGGCAGCGTCCCAAGGGGTCTCTGTATTCCGACAACTCAACGGGCTATTTTCTGCCAGAAATGAAATGAGAGTTTCCAGCACTTTCCCAGAATAGGAAAGCTAAATCACGGTCAAAAGGCACTCAGGTCTTTTACCTCTGAAAACAGAGCAGACTGGCAATACGCTGTGATTATCCTCCGGCATATTAGGCCAATGATCTGGCCTTAAACGCATCGCACTGAATACAAAAACAGGGTCTTTAAATAGATGAATTGAAGTCATTTCCCAAATGTGGTCGTTATTGTGATTTAGACCAGATCCGTATTTAAAACTCTAAATTTACTTATTATTAGCCAGCGAGGAGTCAGTTAGGGCCACATCCATTACAATAACATGCAAATATCCAGACAACTTGAGTAATGTTTTGATTTAAAAAAAAGATAATGCCGTGGTCATTATTTGTAAAGGGCTCTCGGGGACAAAATTGTTACCTCACAATATGTGTTTAGTGAGAGGCCCTAATGTGTTTAATGTTATGAGCCCTGTGCATCTGTAGCTTGTAATGAGTTATGAAAAATTACAAAGAAGCCGATCCAAACTATGAATTATTTGGTTATTAAATCCAATCATTATTCACAACCCTGGTGATTAAAAGTCTCATAGATGTCTCATATAGCCTGATTTGCATTCCACACATATGTGTATGCTTTTTGTCTCGTGTCCAAGTGAGGAAGCCCGCGCTCCGCTTTGAAAATAGGGCAATTTGTATCTGCCCCACTTTCATGCAGCCACCCAGATTGCCAGCCACATTGGAATTAGATGGCATAGATTGAAAGCAGCAATGATTTGGGGAGTACTAACTCGCATCAGTGGAAATGTACATTGGCCCCAGTTGGCAGGAAACACATGGCACCAGTGCCCAACACCTGGATGCCTTGCCCACAGGAAATGAAGAGGAAGAACAGGGGAAAACAGAGGCGGTAGGAGACGGTGCCAACCAGCAAACTAGACTGAAAGTAATGAATAACAGAAAAGTGTTTCACTGTGGTGAGCTCTTAGAGCAAAGATCTTCGCCACAGCTAGCTGAGATTTGAAGAAAGGATCGCCTGCTGGTGGATGCCATGGTTGAGTTAGCAAGGGATAGCTACTTCAGGTCAGCGGAGGTACCTCCTAAGTGTTTCTGACTTTACATTCAGCAGCGCACACTCACTCACCATGAAGCCTGCGGGGCATCATGCTCCTGTTGCTTATTATTTTAGCTCTCTGTAACCCAGTATGGCATTTCCATCAACTGCTGCACCAGAAGTGCCTGCGAATTACCATGACATCAGACTAGTTTGTCCACCCAGTGTTTACTCCTGTCCAAAAAGTAATAATACATTCTTTGCATGTAGTTATGTAGACTGTGAGCTTGATATTATGCCATTACTCTGACTAGGCATAAAAAATGATGCCAGTGCTGGATACTGAAAGACAAATGGATAACATGTCTCACAGAAAAGTTTCATGTCACAGTCAGTTAGTTGATATTTGCAAGAAAAGGCCAATGACCTTTAAAGCCTTACTACCTTGACAGTCTGCGTGGAGTTCGGGAGGCGTATGCTATATATTCCACTCTCTGTCACTCCGGATCGCAGGATCTCCGCGCAGTCCCTGAAACTGAGCGGCTCCTCCTTGGGCATATTGGAGATTTCTGCAAAAACATGTAGGCATTTATTTACAGATGGCAACCTTATGGGTTTTGCACACAAATCCAAACCCCATATGTGAGTTCTCTTGTAATGTTAAGCTCTGGCTTAAGCCTGCAACGCCTGCTGTGCATGCATGTACGTAGTGTGTCTGGGAGTTAAATTACAAGCTGCTCTGGGAGGTATTGCTTGTTTAAAATTACACTTTTTTTGGCCTGACTCACAAATGCCGTGTTCATTAATTGAAAATCTGTGGCTCCCCTTTTTGTCTAATGAAATTCTGGTGTTTATTGATGCTATTAGTCATTAGTCATTCTGCACTCAGGGAGTAGTAAATCATAGGAATGCAATATATAATTGTGTGATAAATACAGTGAGTGCCTTGTTCTCTGTTTCATACTGACTAATATTTCTTTATCTCTTTAGTAACTATAGAGCATTTTTCTTGTTGTACACAAATATA